GTTAAAATTAATAATCTGAGTAATTATTGTTTGAACAAGGTGTTGCGCAATTCAGTGTGTTTCGGTTCCATTAACAAAAAAAAAAAGAAAAAGAAAAGGCGACTCAAAGACCGACTGACGAGCAGAGCAGGAGTTTAAATTAGCTAATCAACCACCGCTGTGTTCACGAGAGGCTGATTAATAATGGGGAAATAAATATCAAGCCTGGAAACCGGATGTCGTAACGGACTGAATGTTATGTTTTTAACGTAATCTCTGCTCGTCTTGCGGGGCGCAGGCGGTTGCCACGGCAACCGGTGTGCTTAAACGCCGAAGAGACCGAGAGTAAAAAGGTAGGAGATGTTTTCAGCTGATCGTCTGTTCGGGTTGTTTTACCGTTGTTTATCTTTGCTGTGGCTCATTAGTAGGTTCTGAACATTCAACAAACGACAAACTTGGACTAATTACCTCGTTCGCTTGTGAGCATACGTCACAACAAACATCAAATAGGACAAATATATTTCATTAAGTTTTAACAAATTCTACCGCCGATAATTATGTGAAATTAAATTGATTATATCCTGACTTCAGAAGATTTGCCTTTACCTTTCCTGGGCTCTTTGGTTCCTCCTATCAGTCTGTAGTTGCTCATATTTCAGTCATCAAACCAAATGTCAGATCTACCATGACTGACTGACTGACACCTGCTGGCGTCAGGTTTGCAACCATCTTCTGACTGAGAAACCAGTAACCTCCTCCCAGTGTCAGAATCTCACTGAGGGAGAAACTGCGTTAGGTTTTCTGTCACTTTATTATTTCTGCTATAACTGATGTGATATATTTGCATAAGTCAATAGAGTTTAATTTGCAATTTTTATGTCTTTGTGTCATGAGGTAGATCTCAGGCAGCTGGTGAGAGAAAAAGTAGATCTTGCTCTCAAAAAGTTTGGGCACCTCTGAACTAAAGGATTTTTTTTCTGCCTGTAGGGAGGTAGAGTACACCAGAGGATAGAGGAACACAAAGTTCAGACTGAGAACAGCTGTGCTGCTAATGAGAAACAGCCACACATGCACACTTACAAGGCTTCATTAAGAGCAGGACTGCTTAACAATGAAAATAAACTTCTGTGATAGTTCCTGGATGGACAGATATGGCGTACACATATTTCACCATGCTCTCATCTGTAGAAAATCCTCACATTTAAATTCCATATTTTCCAAGATCTCGTAGAGACATTGTTAATAATGATAAAAGAGGTCTTTTCTCAGGACTGGATACGACCTCGCTAAGTCTTTCCCACTTCTGGCCAAATACCCAGCGAGGCTCCTTGCCAGATGAGGCACATCTTCAGTCCGACGCCAGACATGGATCACTGTTTCTGTTATGAATGTTTCCAAGTGAAGCAACGCTGCTCTGAACTTGAGCAACTTGCCAAACAGCGCCTTTTTATTTGCATTCATAAATCACTGCGCAGTAAAAATCGACGTACATATGATATATTCTTCCTTGTTCCCTCTCTCCTTAGAGCTGCTAATGAGCTGTAAATCTCCAAATCTTCCTTTTTACACAAAGTCCTTCATCTTTCTGTAGACCTAAACTGTCTCAGCATGTACAAATTTGCTGTTGCCAATCAAACGGATGAGTTGCAGTTTTATAACTCCTAATGGTGGCTTTCCTGACACAGATTTTATGGCAGCTGCCTGCAGTAGGTGTGATAGCTGCTCAGTGTTTGCTATCAGGCTGGAAGTCAATAATTACCCAGATTTTGCAGGCGAACGCCGTTCCACTGACTCCTCTTGTTTATTTATAGTATCTATGCATATTTTGTACATCCATGCACAAGGACTTCTAAACAAATCTTATCCTTTCTGATAAGAAGCTAAAATGATGAAGCATGGGAAACAAAAAAAAAAAAAAAAAATCTTTGCTAGGCCTCATTAGGTCCTCCCACAGTGAGCCGGCCAACCCATCTCTGCTGTGCTGTCTCATAATCGGTCCAGAGTTCACCTACCACTTATTCGCTTACAGTCAAGCTTCTCACCTTCTACGTTCACATTGTGCTCCCAATCCGCTTTGCAGAATATCCCTCTCTGCGGAGAAAAGAGGGGCTGTGGATTGATTTGTCCGACTGAGAAGTGATGTGGAGCGGTGGGCTGCTGCGAGGTGTCAGACCTGAGCTTCACAGTTTTCATTCAAGCTCAACGGGAGACCGAAGAGGAGCAAAGAGCCTACTGGGAGCCAGCTGATTGGACGGTACATGGAAAATAGATGCATCACTGAACAAGTCTGTCATGTTGACGGTCATGTCCCAATAGGAGCATGTCAAGAAGAAGCAGGTGTTTATATTTAACAATCACCTTCTCCTCTAAAAACTGCCTGGTAATTGTCAGCACCCTCGCTGTTGCGTGTTTGGAAATCCATGTGGTGTTATTTCTTGGAAGACTGTTATTGACTGTGACTAATCCTTTCTACAGGTATTATCAGCCGTTTTATGACTGGTTGAGTGAAATGACCGAACAAGCTGTTGGGGAGAATTGAGAGCGTCAGAATCACCTGGACCGAGCACAGGATGTGTAACTCTTCTGGCAGCAGCGTGGAGCAGATGTGTAACTCTTCTGGCAGCGTGGAGCAGATCTTCGTCCCCATAATGGATTCACTCATTTTGATCCTGGGAGTTACCGGACAGAGCTTAGTGATGGTGATCTTGTGCAGACGACAGCGGAGGCGTATGAAACGCGGTGGACAAGCTTCCCATGCGTCCACGATCGGCACGGGAACGGACATCCTGCTGCTGGCTCTGAGCGCTGCAGATCTGCTTCTGCTCTCCATGATTCCCTTCTACTCCGCCGCCATAGCCATGAGGAGGTGGCCATTTGGGGACGTCATGTGCCGCCTGGTGGGCTTCCTGGGGTCTGCCTGCTCGTCCGCCAGCATCTTCACCCTGGCGGCGCTGGCCGTCTCTCGTTATCTGATTGTGGTGAAACCCACCAGAGCGTACGGCCTGCTCACCCCGCGCAGGGTCTCCATGGTTGCCGTCCTCCTATGGGTCCCGGCCTGCTGCCTCGGAGCCCCTCAGTTGGCTTTCCGCTTCGTGAAAACCTCTCAAGGAAGCCCTGACCGCTTCATTTGCTTTTCCTTCCTGTCTCACGAGCAGCGGATGATTTACGGACTGTTTCACTTCCTCGCAGCCTTCATGGTTCCACTGGTCACCATCGCGGTGGCATACGGCAGCATCTACATGTTCCTGTGGCGGGGCCAGCAAGCCAGCACGACCCCCCAAGTCGAACGCTATCAAAGCAAAGTGACTCAGACGACGGCCATGCTGGTGCTGGCCTTTACTGTGTGCTGGTTGCCCTCGTACGGACTGGCGCTGGCCTTACTGGTCAATCCACACTGGGCGACCACAGGGGCCACAGGGGCCACGCCGCGTTATGGCGCCATTAGTGTGTTTGCTCGCCTAATGGCAACGTCTTCCACAGTGATGAACCCTATCCTCTACGTCCTGATGTCCCAAAAGTTCAGACAGGATCTGCTGAAGATTTTCAAACGGGAACGGCAAATCGAAAAGAACAATGTGGTGCTGTCTACTATCTGACAATATCGGTGTAATCAAATCAAACAAACTTTATGCTGTAAGACCTGTGAATAAAATGGTTGCCACTTGGCATCAGTGACAGACTGAAACTGAAAAGCCATGTCACTCGTTGTGAACCGATATTCACCCTTGAGCCGCGTTAGGAGATTATTGTGCAAAACGGTCTTAAAATCTGCTCGGTGTCCAGATGGTTTACAAGAACAGTAGGAATTATCCATTCTTGGGAAGAGTGGCAAGAAATAAAGACAAAAAAGGCTCGATTGTTTACAAGCCATGTAGCGGATACAGTAAAACCCACTAAAGAAAACCCACTGCATGTTTAGGGTCGTCTGTGCAGCAAGGCATTGCAGCTAGAACTAAAAGGCCTTTATGGTCTGCATTCAGTGGTACTTAGATGAAATTTTAGCATTAATAATTAGCAAGAAAAACATGAATGTAGTAATCGTGTAGCATCTGATGAGAGTGGCCCAGGAACAAATGCTGGGGTCGACTTACGCTGTGATTTATTCCTTTGTAAAGTTCAACCTCAGATCAGCAAACGGCATCAAATCTAAATTCATTTCTGTTTCAAGTTAGAAACTCAATTAAATTTGTTAATTAATGCATGTTATTTGTTGATCAGGATACCTGCTAGTAGGAATACAATGTAATAATTTTTCTGCGATTTGTACTGTCAAACAGCGGAGCAACTAGTTTAATAAAGGATGTTTTATAGCACAGCATGTGATTTGTATAAAAAGTACAAATAAAAAGTTATTCCTGTTCATATTCAGCCACATCTAAAGTGCAAAGTAGCCATTTTGGATTTTGACGCCGGGGTCGGTAAGAATCCTCCGACTTGAACTCAGAATCTATTAACTTCTCCAACTTTAAATCTTGTAAATGTACATTTCAGAATAACAACAGAACATTAAACTAAACTCCTCCTTCTGACCAATTATGCCAAACAATCAAATGAGTGTCGAGCAACAAAATTTGAAGCTTATCTTCCGTTTGTCCCACTGTTTTAAATGAAGTGAGTTTGTTCAAATTGTGGTACTTGTCAAACTTTGTGTCTACTTGGGTGTTACTTACTATGAAATGTTTGAGAGCCAGATCAAAGCATAATCATGTGTAAGTGACCTGGTTAAAGTCCAGACTTCAATCTAGTTAAAAGCCTGTAGTAAAACTTGAAAACCGATGTTTGTAGACAGCATTCGTTCAATCTGAATGCATTATTTGGTAAAGAAATAAAAACATTTATTTTTTCATCTGTAGTGTAGATTGCAGACAGGAGAACTGCATTGCGTAAGACGATCACAAGATTTGCTGTGGGTGTGGATGCTTTATGGGCACAGTAGAAGAACCAATACTGAATCACATTCCTTGTTAGACAGATTAAAGCGAAGCTACTTTTGGTAAAACATTAACATTGCACCTGTGTTTTGTTATGCTCGGATAAAGTAAATGAAGGCCTGTTTGTTTCTGGACCTCCTGTCCATTTTGTTCTCGCAGCATAAACAAAAAAATAATTCCCCTTTATTTTGGGTTTGGCAACAACTTGAGAAGAAAGATTTCCTGGTTCTGTTTACATAAGTGGGAGTTTCTGTGGAAAATCTTGCAGCTTTCTTCTCCAGGATTTCTCATCAGGGGGCTGACAGCTACACACAAGCCCTTTTTTTAAAAAACCAAAAGAAAGAGGTTGGAAAAAAAACACAGTTTGGCAAATGACAGGGTTTGTATGTTGGAGGAGAGTGTGGGAATAAAAAAAAAATGAAAGAAGATAAATAGAGAAAATATCTGTAGAAATGTCCTTACCCTTTGAACTTCTTTGTTTTGTACACTGAGCATTTGAACAGGCAATTTCTAAAAAGTATTTTGAGTCAGAGGGACTAAATACAAATACATCTATGCCGTACTTTTCAAATTCTTCTGACTAAACTTTATAGCACCGTGTTATCAGTTTCTTTCTGCTTTTCATCTATGAACTACTTTGTGGTGGTTCATCAAACAACCACCACAAAGTATTTTGTAATGTTGCAAAATGCAACTTGAAAAGTATGAATGTTTTTATGAGACGAAAGTTGACCGAGTGGCAAAACCAAAACAGAAAAGCAGGGAAACTCACTCTCTACGACGGTTTTGCGGTCCGATCCGTCGTCGCTGATCTGCTGGATGTTGCCAAAGTGAATGTCGCTGAAGAAGATGCGGTTGGCTCCTTTTCCCCCGCCTCCTCTGTAGTCAAAGGTGAGAGCGATGATGTTCTTCATGTGCTCCGGATCTTCGAACGGCTTTATGGGCGCGTTCAGGTTGTTCTCGTCCGACAGGTGGACGCTCTTGAGTATGGTGCGCTCCGAGTAGAGAAGGTAGCCGTCGTAGTCGCGGCAGCCGCGGCCGTCCTCGGCCAGCATGCCGTGAGCGCAGGCACAAGTGCGCTGGCCGTTGCCGCGGTAAAGGCAGAGCTGCTCGCAGCCACCGTTGTTCACTTTGCACACATTTGTTCCTGCAAACAGACGCAAACATAAGCGACTGCATTGATTTCTAAATCAAATTATGGATTTTTTTTCTCCCCTTTCTTTGGTTTTGCTTACCTTGCTGCCTGGCCCTGTTGAAAACCTTGATGTCTTTAAGCTGAACACCAATCCCAGTTCTCAGAGAGACGGAGTCTGTGGCGTTCTCCTTGCTGCCTCTTTTAATGGAACCATTCGCATGTGTCCTGTATGAAATACACAGTGTTCATTAGATGCTAATGCTTAGAAACGTAAAGAAAATCATACTGAGCAGCTGGGGAGTATCTGACCTATCACTCCAGTAGATGTAGCTCTCAAACACAGACACAGAGAACATGTCCATGTTGTTGCTGGCCAGCACCACCTCCCTGTTTTCTCCAGTCTCCAGGTTTATACGCTCAATCTTGTCTGTCCTGGCATCACACCAGTACAGCAGACCGTCCTACACACCAACATGAAGTAATCGTGAGGCTGCACACTCCCTGCACTTTCATCTCAAAAGCATAAAGAAGTGCTCCGTTGTGGCTCACCTCATAGTCAATGGAGATCCCGTTGGGCCAGCTGATACTAGCGTTGACCAGGATCGCCCTCTGTGAACCATCCAGGCGGGACCGCTCGATGCGGGGGTACTGACCCCACTCTGTCCAGAACAGGTAGCTGCCAGCAAAAACATGTAGGAGCACAGGAACACTCAAATGGTGTAATCAATAGTGAACTGTAACTACAAATGTGGTGGTTGAGCTGCACAGCGTATTTCATTTTGTAATTCTCACCCTTTCTCAGGATGAACGGTGATGGCGCGTGGCTTGTCCAGGCCCTGGGAGATCACCACGTACCGGAAGGAGCCATTCAGGCGAGCCACCTCGATCACATCGAAACCTTGGTCAGTCCAATAAATGTTTCCTGTGTAAGACAGAGGAGAAATGTTGAAAAACAGACAGATCTGTAGGTAAGATGTACGTCCACTGTATATATAGTCTAAACAATATATGTTTTACTCATCTGTCCCTTTTTAGTGCAAGTTTTTTATATTTTGAATTGTTTCCCCAAGTGTATTATAAGCCTGGCGGGCCACCAGGCTTTACTTGTGCCCCCACCAGGCTAAGCATTGCTTATTTATTTAAGTCTTTTTAAAATATTTGCATTTTTTTAAGTTGGTGTTCAGGTGTTAATCTTCCAATCTTCCAATAAAACATGACTACCAAGTCATATTTTCAAATTTCCTGTCAACTTTAAACATTTTTTAACTCAAAAACACGATGGGTCGCTGGATGAATGACCGCCTAAAATAAACTATCTATGTAACTAGTAAATGACTGTATAGCTTTTTTCCCCCCAATTCTTAAGTTTTACATTGTTCAGTCTTTTTTGGTGATGCCTCTCACCAGCTATCCAGTCCACAGCGATCCCCTCCACTCTCCCGATGCCGTTGGTAATCACGTCTTCTCTCCAGGTCTGATCTCTCTTGGCCCTGCTGATGGTACTCAGGCCCATATCCACCCAGTAGATCGTATCATTCTCTACAACAAACAAAAGAAAACAGGCTTCCTGATCAATAAAGGGAAATTATAACAAGAAAGTCAGAGGGGGGAGGGAGGGTGAGAAAGCTTTACCAGCGTGGAAATCTATGCCGACAGCTAGTGAGGTGCCAGAGACAGGTACCAGAGCATCAGACTTGTCTGAAGGGTCCAGAGGAATACCCCGAATGCCTTCATGAACAGAATACAGAAGGAAGGAGCCCACTCCTGCAATAAACACAAAAGTAGATCTTAGAAATCTCTGAGCCACTCCCTGACCGTTTATGTTAGCCTGTGAAGCAGAATTTGTTTGAAATTAGGATCTTTGTATGCACGCGAACACATCCTACCCTCGCAGGACTGCTGCCCGGTTCGCAGGCTGTATCCTGCAGTGCACATGCAGGCTCTGGTGTTGTGGGAGGTGGGGAGGCACAGCTGGGAACAGTCTCCATTGTTTTTGCTGCAGAAATTGGTGCCTGTGAGCCGAAACGCACAAAGACAAACACACAAAACAAATCAAAGATGAGTAATCGGGTATAAACAGAGGTGCCTGTGATAAACATTCAGAGGCTTTAAATTAGACCCTCTGTCAGACAGATGCACGTTGTCCTTCAAGGGACTTCAACAAAGAAATGTTGCACCTTTTTGCACGGTTTCGTTGTAGATCTTCATGTGCATCATGGGCGAAGTGCTGTTCCTCAGGACTTTCCAGTTGCCACCGTCTTTTTTATCACACGTTCCGATCTGGTCGGTTCCCTGGTCCGCCCACCACAGCTTATCCCCTTCGGTGAACGTCACACAGCGTAGACATTACACATCGTTTCTGCTGAAACTGCAGCTCAAACAAAGAGTTTATGATGATGGGCACATTAAGGCCTACCCATAATAGCAAGAGCTGTAGCCTTGATGAGCTTGCCCTTGGTGCCTTCCAGCACCTCCAGTCCAGAGCCGTCCAGGTTGCAGCGGTTGATGGTGCTGTTTCCTGAGCTGATCCAGTAGAGCTGAGCCGTGTCAAAGTCGATGGAAAGGCCTAGGACACAAAAGAGCACGTAAGAGCAATGTCCGACCTCATCACTAGGGGGAGCCGTCTCTTAGTCACAAACACAGGGGGACCATGGTCTCTCACCAATAGGGCCTTTTTGGTTGGTGAAGAGGACACTGCGGTTGCTGCCGTCTGTGTTGGCCATGCTGATGTTGTCGCCGTCTGTCCAGTACAGCTTCCTGGTGTAGACATTTTTGTAATCAGCAGAACATATCAAAAGGACATACTGAAAGAAAAGCATATGTCACTGTAAACTTGGAGCTTAGGTGTAACCTATAGAGCCTTGCAAGTTTCTCAAACTTTTATGTATCTTATTTCAATTTTGACCAACACAAAGTAGTGTGTGTGACAGAAATGATACATGGTTCTGATACTCTGACAAATAAAAATCAGAGAACTTAGGATGTGTTCCAGCCAGTTTTTCATACCAAATACTGACAAGTTTGTCAAAATTTCTTGCAAAAGAAGTCAAACTAGAACATCTGTGAACAGCAATAAGACTTGCCAACAATTTGACTTATGTTTGTCACTTTAGGAGCCATTCTTTGGTCTTATGACCTCATCCTCTTTTAAATCTCTCTAAAACTTTCCCTCTGACCCATTTGCTGCGTGTCTTGGCCTTCGTGATGCTGTTTCCCACTATTGTTTTTTAACATAGCTTTGAGGCTTTCATGGAACATCTGAATTTCCACTAATTGCAATTTGTCATACCGGATTTTACTTAGGGATATCAGATTAAAGTAAAAACAAAAATTTTCAGATTTTGGCTTGCTAAAAAGCAAAAAGAAGGAAAACGAAGCATTCTTTACATTCCACTTCCCAAATATGTTTTCCAGGGGAGGGGACACTTTTGAAATCTACTGTATGTGACTCTTAAACTAGATTTCACAAAATCTTCTGAAAACTTAAACTAACATAAAAGTTTAATTTTGTTATTTTTTTGTACCTTTTTAACTTAGTTAATTGTTTAATCTCGCATCGTAACGAGATGCAATTGCCAGCCCTTTGTTGTGTGTCGTTGCGTATTTAAGCTATATTTAATATGTATCACTTCCTTTTAATTCTAACCACATCCAGCTACAGCCTTTATTATATTTAACATGTCTCAGAAAAAAAACAGACTAGGGGATTCACATTTCCTCTTTTAAGCTTTTCCCTTTTTTTTAGTGCAAACACACAGTTTATCCTGCCCCAACCTTTTTTGACCCCACCCACTCCAGTTGGGGTCAAGTGTGTTTGTGTGGCAGAGAAAGCAGACGGCTCCAGCATATGGTTCTAACATCTGCTTCTCATTTTCAAACACACCAACAAAGCTCTGATCGGGAACAGTCCTATTCTTCACCGTGTCCTTCAAAGAGACAACGGAGTAAACAAACAACAGACACACTTTCTAAATGGAAATCAAACACAGAAAGGCACACATATTCCCACAGAACCACGGTATTTGGAGGTACAGATGGTTTGTCTGTGCGCTGTTCGACCGAGGGGGAGGCTAGAGCCAAGCTCTGTTTGGAGATTAGGGGGGGAGAGTTTCAGGAAGGGAAAAAATGAATGTTTTAAGTAACGCAGGAAGGGACAGGATGTAGGATAAACAAAGAGAACTTAGATGGAAAAAGAGAAAGAAAGACAGAGACACTGGCTGTGAATCAGACACAGAGTCTGTCTGAGCTCAGAAAGTGTCAAAATAAAAGACAGAAGCAGCAGAGGATTACAATTAAAATGAGAGAACAAACTTTAAAGCCATTTTTATAGTAAGAAAATGCTTAAGGGTTAGCTGTCGGTAGTCTATTTATTAACAGTGACTACATAAAGGGAAAACTGAGAAGATCCACAGTAATGTGTTTCACATTATCAGTAAAACCAGGTAGTGTTTAGTGTTTGGACAATATGGCTCTTCACTCAGAGCAGCAAGGCCTGAGGTATCTTTAGCACTCCGCTAAGCTAAAGTATTCTGTTATTTCCTCTCTATATGACTTTTCTACAGCTAACTTGGATGTCCGGTCATTGGGACACAACATCTCTCATCATATTTCACATCATGTAAGCAATGCAACAAAATAATAACAACTCAATTCGGGTATGAAGCTTCAGAGTCGCAGCTTTAAGGAATCTCAGCCACATTTGATCACGTTCAGTTCTAACTTTTAGTAAATTTATAAACCTTGAACTGACTTGTTCTAGACATGAGAGCGACTTTTTAAAGAAAAATCTAAGATTAATGAGACTTTTATTTATCTATTTGCTTTATGAGCACTATAAATTTACACAAACTTAAAAAGTATAGTATGTAGTGTAAACTATAAAAATTACTTTTTGTAATGAATAAGGTTAGTATTGAAATGATCAGTTTTAATTGGTTCTTATGAAGTCAAAGTTAGCTGAATGGTGTTTGTCATAGGGTGTGTTTATTTATGTGTGGAGGCCACATGTGTTGGGGCTTCAGCATTCATGGAAGAAAAGGTCGCTGGGCAAAAGAAAGAATACGTCTCACAGCAGTTTTCGAGAATGAGAGTGTTTCTACATCAGAGAGTTTACGACGAGCCCCTTTCTATTTCCGTGTGTGTGAGTGAGTGAGTGGCACTGACCCCAGCATTGGATGCATCACTAGACAGTGTGGTTTGTCCAAACCCTGGATGACGGCGTTTTTAAAGGAGCCATCCAGTCTGGCGACATTAATCTGTTTCTTATTGGCATCATAGCTGGTCCAGAACAGGTTCCTGGACACCCAGTCCACCGCCAGGCCGTGCGTATTGGGTAGATCTGATGAAACACAGCAAACGTAAATTGTAGAACAACTCTTTGGTTTGGACAGAAACTCAACAAGCCTTTTTAAAATAACAGACAGTAGAGAGGACAAAGGAAAAACTATAGTGTGACCCTTCTTTCAGTGTTACTCCTCATCATTAGAGCTCTTTTAGTTTAAACAGTTTTTTCATTGATTTTTCAGTTGAACAATGTCTGCAAACCTGTATGCTGGTTGTGTGCCTGCTGTATTTTGACTATTAACCCAATATCCGACAAAAGTTTTGTTTTTATTATTATTATTATCTGAATTTCAATGATAAAATACATTTTTTTTCAGTCTGTGCCTAATATACTTTGCAGTTTCTTAAGTTTTTTTTTTTTTTTAATTTAGACCAATGTTTGCCCAAAACAGACGTTTCCCTTGCAAGTCTAAGTAACGATCCTATGAAAGATGTTCTGCCTCATCGTTCTTACCAGCAGAGACCACGGTCTCGACTCCGGTCCCATTAATAAAAGCTCGCTTGATCGTTTGTGTCCGCACATCTGACCAGTAGATGCGGTGCTCCAGAGCGTCGTAGTCCACCACAGTCACGTTGTCGATGTCCGGCACAGTGAAGGAGATGATGTAGTTGTAGTACGGGTTGTCTATGTCCACTCCCCTGATCTCTATTTGTCGAGCGTAAAGCAGAAACTGGCGAGACTCTGCGGGGGAGACGAGATGATGACATGCGTCCATTAATGCTCAGTGAAATTGGTCAAGTGGTGAAAGCAGCAACAAGTCAAAAAGGGTAATCTCTGAAAAGGAAGCAATGCCTAATCTGTGGAAGGATAGTTGCTGCAGGGATGAGTGCTTCTTTGTATCATCCCTGCTGCTTGAACAAACGCTTAATTCAATTGTATCTTTGACTGACGTGATTATATCTGGCAAGGTAACGGCACAGCAGCCGCGTTGAGAGTAAATTCAATCAGTGAAAATACATAACAAATAGGATAAACTCAGCAGTCACTGTTTGTCTAAATCTGCGCGGCTTCAGTGATAGAAAGAAGAAATGGGAAGGGGGGATTGAGATGGGAGATTAATGATTCTGTCAGACTGTATCAGGCAGGCAAGAGTATGTTGTGGATGTGGGGGACAGTAATAATGGCTCCTCGGATCCAATATCACACAACATAATTGAGAGCCTTGCCCTGAATATTAAACTCAAGCAAAAAATAAATAAAAAACAAGCAGCCTGCCATTATATAAAGAAGAAAACATTATATTAAGCTTAGACGTTCGCTCTTCAGAGACTCACATTTCTACACACAAGCAGCAACAACCCCCCTCCACCCGCTACTGTAAAAAACCCCAAAAACAAACAAACACGACCGATTTGCACGTGTCTAGACTTACCAAAGCACGTCCGTTTGTCGGGGCCCAGCTTCATGAGGTGGGGACATGCACACGAGAACGTCTGATTGTAGTTGATCAAGCAGAGGTGGGAGCAGGGCTCTTTGCCATCTTTGGCTGCACAGGGGTTTGGAGCTGCACAGACGACAGTGTGGATTAGAAGAAGGACCAAGAAGGCGGACACGCAGACGGTCGGTCATTTTATTAGGTGCACAAATAGTAAATTAGTCGGTCAGAGTATTTTAGACACTGATGATCCCAACCACAGGCTATTTTCTGCATTTCTTCCTCTCCTCTCTCTGCCATTCTTCTTATGAAGCTACTAATAGAAAAGGACACTAGCGCTACACAATCTTAAAAAAAAAAGTCACAATGATGATCCATTGTTCCTACAATTAACTTTATAATTGCATTTCTGAAAATAAATGTAAAATATTCCGATAATTTTTTTCTACAAAATGACTAATGAATGTTTTCTTTCTTACCTAAAGAAAGAAAACACTTCCTTTGCTTTATTAAATTCATCTAAATATGTCCACTAACATTGATTTATTACAAATAAACATTGCAAAAGAGTGTGGAATTTATTATGACTGTCCAAACTTATTCAGAGGGCTTTTGTTATATATTCTAAAGTTAACAGTACCTATGAGCTGAAAATTAAAACCAGGAAATGACTGAAGCAAAATGTGGGGAATGTTCAACCAGTACAAGATGCTTAGGAACGAAAAGTACAAAAGTACAACTTCCTGAATATTTTCTGAAACAGATTTCTACCCAAGTAGCCTGACCTTCTCCTAGTTCCTCAAATAGGTAAATAATTGCAAAAGAAAACTATCCACATTCCTGAAAAACAGAGATTAAACCAGATCATTTCCCTTTCCCTCAGCTCATAGCAAACCAAAATCAAAATTGGTCCAAATTGGGATGGGTAAGTTAAAGCTAGGTTTATGGTTGACATATAGAACAGGATGCGCGGTGGTGCGAGTACATGGCTTCAACATACATATTAACTACAAATGCCATACCGCCATCCTGGCTCACGCCCACTCAACCCCAACCTTCAAAAGTGCAACTATAACTCAGTCTTAAGAGTGCAAGAAATCAGAAATCAGTACATGCCAAGACAAGCCTGATTGGTGCGTCTCTGCAGTCAAAACACAATTAAACACAAAACAATGTCAAGATAAAAACTGGAGGAACTGTGCAACCAAAAGAAAACACTTGTAGCTGAATGCAATGCTTTGTCAGGTACATTTACAACAAATACCTATAATAATAATAATAATGATAATAATAATAACTATTGACCTCTAGTTGGCAAATAGTGATTGCATACACTGATACCTTGTGGTTGTCTGGATGGATGGTAGACCTGCAGGTCAAAGGGCTGCGTATTAGTTCTCTGGACCACAGTCACGTTGTTCCCAGTCCACTTGTTTGCCTTGGCCAGCGTGTTGGTCCTCCAGTCCGTCCAGTAAACCTCTCCACCATACATGGTGACAGCGAAAGGATGCGAGAGGTACTCATGGCCTCTCAGGACCTCAATCAATCCAGAACCATCGTACTTAGCAGAGTAAATGGCATCGGATCTGTGAAAATAACAATTTTAGCTACATGCTACTGTGAAGATCTTATATAAAAGGTTAAAATGTATTTTTTCTTATTTGTTTGACCTGGCATCAATCCAGAGGATGCGCCGCTCCAGATAATCCACAGTGAGTCCGTTAGGCCATCCTCCGCTGCCCGTCTCCTTATGGATCGTCTTCCTGCCTTCTCCGCTCATGGATGCAGCCTCAATCCTCGGCAAACTGGCATCCCAGTCTGTCCAGAAGAGGATTCTGCAGAAATATAGTTTAACAGAGGGACTTGTTGTGACTGTGCTCTGTTTTATTTGCAGGAGGTAAAGCAAGCAGTGCAGCTGTTACCCATCGCGGGGGTCAAGAGCAATAGCTCTAGGGTGCTCCACTTCCCCAGCCAGCAGAGTAGTCCTCATAGTGCCGTCCAACTTGGCCACCTCGATCTGATCAAGGTTGCTTTCCACCCAGTAAATGTTTCCTGCTATCCAGTCCACTGCCAGACCCTCGGGTGTAGCCAACCCATACTGGATCACTACATCAAAGCTGGTTAAAGCTGAAGGAGGAGGAAAAGAGACAAGGAAAACATTCAAACATCCTGATTTTTATCAGGTCCTTCATCTGCAGCCACTTGTAAAGTTGTGTTGGTAGAACTCTTCAAAGCTTTTTTATGTGACGCCCAATTAAATCCTGTTTCATCAGGCTATTTAGGAAAACAAATAATTATCTGGGGTGCTGAAGGTACTTGTTGAATTTGCACTCTATTTAATTTCACATGGTTAAAGGCTCTGCTGGCAAGAATCTGATGATGGCAGCTTTTTCAGGCTACTGTAGCCCACAGCACTGATCTGCAGGGGTTTAGAACTTAGAAATTTTGTAATTGTAATAAAACTCCAAGTATCACAAATTGTCCCCTAATGAAGTGTTTAGATGCCATGTAGAGAAAACAAAATGGCACAATAAAAACAAAAGACAAAGTGACAGTACAATTACAGAGCAGCTCCTAGAAGCTAAATATGTGGTGTCAGGGCTAAAGAGAGATCACAGCCTCTCTCTAACCCTTTAATTTCCCACTGCCTCCCTAATGAGAGTGAAGAGTAATTATTTGGGATGAGTCAGTATTGTGTTCTGAACAATGTTGACATGCTTAAAACCCCAAACAACTTCAATACAAACCTCTATAACTGACAGGCCTTTAAAGAGACAATTGTGATTTTCTGAAATGGGTTAATTTTAAGTTGGAACTGGAAGTTTCTTGTAACTCGTGTTTTCAGAGGAAATTGAAGCAACAGCTAAACAGTTAGCAGCTTGGCAGCCAAACGCAGATGAGAGGAAAATATAGTATATTAACCTAGCAGTTAACAAGCCAATTAAACAAAAAGATAGTCACCTAACAGGTCCTTAAGCTAGTGGGTAGTTAAGCTAATAGCTAGTGAAAATAAGCATTAATCAGCTGATGGCTCGTCAAGCCCACAGTTAGATAACTATTAGCTTAACTATCTGTTGTAGCTTTTAGTTTAACAGCTAATCATTGTAATGGGCTCTTTGCACCTCAGCTTCCGCGTTCGGGGAAAAGCGGCTTGGTCACTTCCGGTATGTTGAAAATGGCATTTTACACTCGGTGCTTTTAGGGTTAGTCCAAGATAACAAGTAATGATGTACATCAATCCGAAACCCCAGCAAGTAAACTGGAGAAAAGATGTTCGCCTCGTTATACATTCACGGATCCGAAGGTGAGTTTTACTTTCTTTAAACTTTGTGGCTAACATATCTTATTCTAGTAGGCAATATTCTCTGACATTTTTCTTGTAAAAATGTGCGATTTAAGTATCTAAACATTTTTAATCCATTCTAATGGATAATCTTTTTGCCTTATTTTGTATTTATTTTCAAATATATGTGTTTATTGTTGCATGAGGTCAAACTAACAACTAGTTAAGGAAGTTGTCAGTTTGCTATTCAAGCTAACAGCTAGCAGCCTAAAGGTAGAGTCATTTCCAAAGTGGATAGGCCACCAAGCTAGTATCAAATTCTGAGGTTTTGAAGAAATTGTTCATCAAACTTATCATCACTTTTACATTAAACAATTAATTCCATAGCCTAAGTAATTGATTGTCTGCAGCCTGTTTACGTCTTTCATGGAGTGTTTCTATTTCTCTTTCTGGACATTTGCAAGTTTCACTGTTATTTGTTTTTCTAATAATACGTTTTCAAGCCTTTTAGATTATGAGATAGGCTGTCAGCAATGTAAGATGTAAATAGAATTAAGGGGCTGAAAATAAAATGTAATGATATTAGAATTATGGCAATAAAGCTGTCTAGCACATTTTCAACTCATCCATCTTTCTACATTAAAAACAAAGACCGAAAACAAACATGAATAGAGGTATTGAAAGTACAAGTATTAGAAAACATCTCATCGATTTATGTATCTGATTTCAAGCCAAGCTGAGTGAACGGATTTTCCAAAACCTCTTTGCTTTTAAAAGTGCCATTAAATAAAGAAACAGTAGCTTCTCTGTTAAATCTCTATATATCAAGCTTATATAAGCTTGATATATAT